GATATACACATCGCATGCATAAAAGATGGAGTGTGAAGAGTGAAGAGACACAGGAACAACAACGATAGGAAATGACTTGTTAAATTATTCTCTATTGCTGGTTTGCCCTCACTGTTAGACCCACCGCCAGGAGTGATTCGAGGTGACGGATGTGTGGTATTTGTGGGAATAGAGCACCCTTAAGTATCCTTCAGTTTTGTAGTAGTATATGTCCCAGGTGTTAGTATGTGTTAGTATAATGGCCAAGTGTTAGTATATGTCCCAAGTGTTAGTATGTGTTAGTATATGGCCCAAGTGTTAGTATGTGTTAGTATATGTCCCAAGTGTTAGTATGTGTTAGTATATGACCCTAGTGTTAGTATATGGCCCAAGTGTTAGTATATGGCCCAAGTGTTAGTATGTGTTAGTATATGGCCCAAGTGTTAGTATGTGTTAGTATATGGCCCAAGTGTTAGTATGTGTTAGTATATGGCCCTAGTGTTAGTATATGACCCATGGCCCTAGTGTTAGTATATGACCCAAGTGTTTAGTATATAGTGTTAGTATGTGTTAGTATATGGCCCTAGTGTTAGTATATGACCCAAGTGTTAGTATATGACCCGTGTTAGTATGTGTTAGAATATGGCCCTATGTTAGTTTATGGCCCAAGTGTTGGTTTGTGTTAGTATATGGCCCAGGTGTTAGTATGTGTTATGATATGGCCCAAGTGTTAGTATGTGTTAGTATATGGCCCAAGTGTTAGTATGTGTTGGTATATGGCCCAAGTGTTAGTATGGTATATGGCCCAGTGTTAGTATGTGTAGTATATGGCCCAAGTGTTAGTATATGGCCCCCTATAGTGTTAGTATATGCCAAGTGTTAGTATGTGTATATATGACCCAGGTGTTAGCATGTGTTAGTATATGTCCCAAGTGTTAGTATGTGTTAGTATATGACCCAAGTGTTAGTATGTGTTAGTATAAGGTGTTAGTATGTTTAGTATATGACCCAAGTGTTTAGTATATGGCCCAAGTTTAGTATATGGCCCAAGTGTAGTATGTGTTAGTATATGGCCCAAGTGTTAGTATGTGTTAGTTATATGCCCAATAGTATGCCCAAGTGTTAGTATGTGTTAGTATATGGCCCAAGTGTTAGTATGTGTTAGTATATGGCCCAAGTGTTAGTATGTGTTAGTATATGGCCCAAGTGTTAGTATGTGTTAGTATATGTTAGTATATGCCCAAGTGTTAGTATGTGTTAGTATATGGCCCAAGTGTTAGTATATGGCCCAAGTGTTAGTATATGTAGTGTTAGTATGTGTTAGTATATGTGTTAGTATATGGCCCAAGTGTTAGTGTGTTATATAAGTGTTAGTATATGGCCCAAGTGTTAGTATTAGTATGTGTTAGTATATGTCCCAAGTGTTAGTATGTGTTAGTATTATGTCCAAGTGTTAGTATATGGCCCAAGTGTTAGTATATGACCAATATGTGTTAGTATATGTCCCAAGTGTAGTATATGACCAAGTGTCTGTATTGTTAGTATATGTCCCAAGTGTTAGTATATATATGTGTTAGTATATCCCAAGTGTTAGTATATGGCCCAAGTGTTAGTATATGACCCAAGTGTTAGTATGTGTTAGTATATGGCCCAAGTGTTAGTATATGACCCAAGTGTTAGTATGTGTTAGTATATAGTTAGTATATGACCCAAAGTGTTAGTATATGGCCCAAGTTGTGGTTACTGATCTCAAAATACATAGAAGTGACCGTCGTTTAGCTTTAACGATTATGTCATGGGTAATTTCAGTGTTGCGAAATCAAGAAAGAGTTCCATTTAACGGATCATGTCATGGGAAAAAACCGGTTCGTTGTGCGAGGTCCGACCCGGTGAATGTTCATATATGCGGACATGCCTGTACACAGAAATAAATGTATATCTGTTTATCTATCTGGTATACAGTTATCTATCTATCGGGTAGATGTGCATGTCTAGACTGATAGATATGCATTTATTTCCGTATATGTGCAAATCCGTATATGTGAACATTTATTGGTTGGGCCTTGCACAATTTTAAATAAACCGGCCGCATATATACGTGGTAAAAGGCACTGTGTGATGTGAATTGGTATGTTTTTTCTTTTCTTTGGGATGAGCATAATTCGGGATGTTTGTTAAAAGGTTTAGTGGCATTTGTGTGTGCGATTGGGGAGGTGGGGATGTGTTCATGTGTGTGAGTGTTTTTGTGTATGTTTGTGTGTGTGTGTGTGTGTGTGTGTGTGTGTGTGTGTGTGTGTGTGTGTGGTGTGTTTGTGTGTGTGTGTTTATGTGTGTCTGTGTGTGAGTATGTGTGTTTTGTGTGTGTGTGTATACACTGGTAGATAATGTGTGTGTGTGTATATATATATATATATATATATATATATATATATATATATATATATATATATATATATATATATATATATATATATCCATCTACCCTGCACTTACCATTACCTCCATCCACTCAATGAAACAA